TAGCTGATGACCTTGAGCACTGACCCCCAAGCCCAAAAGCCTAAGATCTGGCAACTCTATGGCTCCATGACCTCCATAGTAAATAAATTTGAAACAAATTGCACTTCATCACTGCATGCTTATCTCAGTCAGAATCATCTGATCATCAGAATCCACTCAGTTGGAAACCAGATGAATGGGATCTATTTTCATTCTTTTTAACTACCTAATTGCACATTTACTCAAACTTAATGAGACTCTACAGTTACCTCCATGTCTTGGGAAAAGCCATCAGTCTGAGCCCACCACCCTGGCTCTGCAGAATGCCCAGGCCAGCCTGGAAGCCAGTGGTCCTGGCCCAGCAACCAGTTAAGCAGGGATAAGGCTGCAATCAATCGGTGGCAAAGGAAAAGCAGTCTGCACAGACTTGGAGACTTTCCTTCTCTAATAATGAAAGAGGAAAACAGCCAAATGTAGCACGAAATCTGAATTTCAGGACCTTGGGCAGTGCATGGTTCTATCTTCAGTGGCATGGGAGGGCAGGGAGAACGTGCACCTTGCTGAGCATGCTCAAAGACCTTGAGACAGCCCTATATCCCGTGCTTTTCAGATGGGATTCCTCTCCTGAAGCAGCATGTACTTCTTGATCCATCTCCTTCCGTGGCTGTGCAGGTGACCGTAAGAGCAAGAAGTGGCTTTTACCAATTTCAGCTGATTGGCCAGCTGTGGCTTTTCCTGAAGGAGTTAAATCTGGCATCAGTTACCCATGCCCAGTTATTTCTTGAATGAATTACTGAAATCTTCTCTCTATGCGGCTGCCTTTAGAAACACTCCAGAAATTTACGTTGCAAAATGCTGCTGAAAGGTTGCTCTTTGGTGCTAGAAAATTGAAGTATATCCTTCCAACTTTATTCCAGCCTCATTGGCTGGCCTTTTGTTGTTGGGCTTGTTTTAAGGGGCTTGTGTTGGCCTTTAATAGTGTTAAATGGCTAAGATCAACATGTGAGAAACCCTTTGCTCCCTTATGAATTAGCTCTGCTAAATGCTGTGGTCTCTGTCCTGTTGTAACAAACCAAAGCCAAACTCTCTGCCCCCTTCAAAATTTCTTTTAGAGCAAGTCAGCCATCACATTGGTAGAGCAAGACTCCACAACAGGCAATCTATGATAAAAGAGATTATCTGACTGAGTACTTTCCCCCATATCTGCCTGCTGAAGCCTTTCTGGCAAACACAATAACACAGAGTGGTTTTTGCATATGCATTTGTCTCAATCTTTGTTTTGCCTGAATGTTTTCCTCCAGGATAGAATCTATGCTATTGACATGCTGAAGAATACTGCACTTTCCTCTGTAAATGCTCAAGTCATTTTTGGATCCATATAAGGTCCACTAAGAAAACAGTATTTATTTTACTTTAACACAACTTCCCATTTCTCTTATTCACTTATTTGAACTCTTTAATAAAAACACTTAAACCAGTTGGCTAAGTTACATGTCACAACTGGGCAGCAAACAAATGTTTTGGACATGACATATAGGTCTCCCTTAAAAGACTGATGTGCACCCAAAAACCCCATTACACCTGTCCATTTATGAGATTAGATAGGCAGGTGTGAGAGACAGAGCCTTCTGAGTTGTATCATTGTGGAACTTGTATGCAGTGGAGATACAATGAACTCCCTTTCTGCCTGTCCTTAAACAGTAAAGGTTTTCTTTTTTTTCTTTTAAAATTCCAACCAGTTTTGAAATCTGCTTTCAGCTGTATAGTTCTGTGTTGCTGTTACATTTGTAAACTGCTGCATGTGTAGTCTATGCAATGAATATGATTTCTGTGTAATGGATATCATTTTGAATCATGAATTGTTACATGACAACCATGTAGTATGGTTTAACTATGAGCTGTTAACAGCAAAAAAACAGAGTTCATAACCCACAACATATCATGAGTTTTCTTACTAGATTGTTCATGGATAGCAACCTGTTGTGAAAGCATACTGTAGGATTAGTAAGTAACAGCAACCCACAATTCAATGACAACCTATGAAGGTAAACTAGGCCAATTGTGATTAACCCTTGAGATGTAATGGATCAATACTAGAGGAGACAAACAAAGAAAAGACAGCTATCATTATCTTTTGACCTCTCTGCAGGTAACAAGCAAATTTCTAGAAATACAGATTGTATAAGCTGTGTGTGTGTGTGTGTGTGGGGCAATCTTACTAGGATCATAGCAGGTTGGGGGGGGGAGTTAACCCTTTCTGCTACAGTTCCAGTCATGGCAAAGATTCCTCTGTTGAAGCTAGTAATTAGTACATGTGGGCATTATCCATTGGCTCCAATGCAAATGGCACTTTCAGAGGGGAAAGACAGCAAACAGTGAAGCTGGCTCCAACACTGGATGGGGACTAAATGTTATAAAGGGGGTATAGTCACATTTCTGAATTCATTTGGAAGGTGGGGGAGGTCATCTGGCTCCTCAGACAAATTGTAGTTCTTTACCATAAGAAGCCCTGGATCTTCTTGTGGTATCTTCCTTCCAGAATTTTCCTTCCATTAATGGAAGTGATCATCTTGTGGAAGATGCCCGCATCCAGATTTGCGGGATCTTACCTATGCTCTGCACAATTGTTCATCCCATTCCACATCCCTTTTCATATCAACATCCCTTTGAAATGGGATGAGGGGGTGGGAAGGCCAGTTACACACATCTAAATTGGATACAGAAGTTAAAACTGACATTGTGTGTGTGCACATACCTGCATGTGTGATGTCACTACTACATAATCATGGCTTTGTTTTAAACTTCTCTTCTTACCTGCTCCAGTTTACAATATAATACTTAGGCTATAACTCAGAGCCAGCTAATATTCAGCAAAGAAAAAGGGACGAGAGTATGTTTTAGTGTGAAATGGTGCCCTTGCTCTGCTAGTTTGTCAGTTGAGGAGATCTTAGCTAACATGGTGCCCATTGAAAAGGTCAGAGTAAGATTGTAAACTACTCTCAGAGACAGTGAAACAACTAGAAGAGATTGAAGCAGAGCTTCTCTGGTTGGAAAGAAACAGTCACAATGACTAGATTTGCGCAAGATAACAACCCATTGTGGGTTGTTACTCATGATCATTGTTTTGTTATATAAACCTGTCCTCCTCCTTGCACGGTGGCTTGTTTGAGGGTAACAAGCCACCTTAACAACCCATAATTTGTTCTAAGGATTGTTCTATCCATTATGGATTGTTGTGTCATCTGAACTAGGGTGATTGGTGCCATCATAGGTACAGGGGATCAGCTTGTGTCTTGCTTGGCAAGAGTGGCAAACCCCTTTGCTTCTCTTGCCAAGCATGTTCTGTCACCTGCCAGCTGTCCCATAACTGCCCAAGCAGCACTTGGGGGCAATTAGCACTGACTGGATGTTCTCTGATGCAATTGTAAGCCATTTTCAGTTTAGCATGGCTTTTTCCTTTACTTCATTTCCTAGAAATTACAAAAGGAAGTTTGACAACCAGTTTTCACAATCCCTGTTTTGACAGCCATTGACATTTCCTTCAAAGTGCCCATGGAGTGCAGCCAAAGTGCAGCAGGTATCAACCTTGGACATTGACCTGAAGAGCTCCCAATAGTTTCTCTCCCCTTTGGTTTTTCTTAACAGACGTCAAAGGTCAAGCTGTCAATAGAAAGCGAACGTGTGAGTGACCCTCTTCTTGGAAGGCCATCCTCTTTGTTTCTGCCCTGGTAGTTCATAGTATAGTACATATTTTCACTCTTTTCTGAGAGTCCAGATGCTTGGGAAAGTGCAAAAGCACTTGAGAATTTTCAATTGTCATGCACTGCTTGTTTCTCCATTTGACAAGCCATGAGACATCTTTGTTTGACATTGTAATAGTGGGTGCACCCACAGGTACTGGTGCACAGGTACAGAATCCTATCTCAATCATGGAATTTTATGGTGGATCCAGATGACATCTTCCACTTGTAGCCCTCCTGTGTTCCTTGCGGTTTTTTTCCACCCCCTTTCTTATCAAAGAAAAGGAGGGAAAGGCAGAAGAGCTGCACAATATTTTTTGAGTGAAAGGTCTAGATGCTGTCCGTGTGGAATCAGCCCAGAGTCAGAGAGAGCCAAGCAGTTAGGTAATCCTTTGCCCTGTTGGTCTTACATTATGATCAAAAGAGGGGTCTGACAGCCCCCTTCTTTAGATGGCAATGTGCATTATTGGGACCCTTCTGCTCATTCTGCAGTGGCCCCAGATCCTACCCTGACTGCTCCACTGGAGACAGGAGGCAGCAAACACCCACATGTGCAGGCACACCATGCACTGATAAGTATCTTACCCATCCCCTATTGCTGCACACCTGTGGTTATTTAAAGAAATGGTACCATTCATATTCTTCCCCATTGCCCCTTTTATGTGCTCCCCATTTTTCTTCTCCTGGTGCTGCTACTGGGCTGGTTCCATCAACGCAAGAGAGGGAACAACGAGGGAGAAAAGCCAGGAACCCGAATTGGTGTCCCTGTAGCTAACTGACAACCACAGGCAAGAAAGGGGACCGTTCCGAGTGCTACGTTTTCTTCTGGTGAGCGTACGCGAGCATTGCAGCTTCACTCTTGCGGGTCGGCATAAACAGGCGCGCGCGCACACAAAGGCGCGCGCACTCACGCGCGCACGCACACACACACATGCGCGGGCATACCGACGCTGTGGGCTTTCTTCCTTTGAAGTCTTCCCAACTCTGTGTTTCGTCCTCTAGCACTTTTCCCTCCGCTGTCATTCCCGGAGACACGCTGCTGTCGTTTGCTTCATCTCTCCTCTCCTGGCTCCCCTCTTCCATCTGGGCTTCCCCCCACCCACTCCCGCCCCCGTGACGGCGAAGCATTGAGGGGACTTTGGCAAGGCGAAGGGCTGTCCTTCCAGCGGGTTCCTACTGCAGGCAGCTGCTTCTGGGTGGCGGGCGGGGCGAACCCAGGCAGCCTTCCCGCGTATCGGCTCGCCGTGGGCAGAGTCTGCCGGGAGCGCCACGCTTATAAGGGGGCGCTCCCGCGGCCACGGCCGCTCCTGCCAAGATGCCTCCTCTGCCGGGGTTGCTGCTATGCTGCCTTGGAGCGGCATTCGCTCTAGATGCCTCCTTGTTGCCCCCCACTTACAACGGCACGGAGGAGGGCGCCCGCCTCTTCGCCGAGGACTACAACAGCACCGGGGAAATAGTCTTCTTCGAAAGCGTCTCCGCCAGCTGGAATTACAATACCAACCTGACGGACTTTAACTCCCAGCAGCAGGTAAGCGGGCAAGCGAAGGCTGCTGCAGTCGCCCCGCTGCCCACCCTGAGGGCTCCGTGGCTGCCGCTCTGAAGGCGGGGATGGGGAAAGACTGGGGCAGTTTTGGGCTACGGCTGCTCTCCCAGTTGACTCTTCTTCAGTGGATCTTTCTGAGATTGTTTTCTCGCTTGACTTTCTATAACTTTTTCTTACGTCTGCTGAAAAGGCACAGCGCGAAATCGCCCGCCCTGCTTTTGGCGGCGCTAAATGTCCACCTCGAGCTGGGCCTAGGGGACCATTTCTGCCCCAGAAGGAACTGAGCAGTTCTGTAGCAGGGACATACCCATCCTATTCTGAAACAATATTTTCTGACTCTCCTCACTGTAAGTGCTGCTACTGTTCCACTTTACAGATGGCAAAACTGAGACTGAGAAACAGAGAGACTTCTTAGTGTCCCCCTAACTGAGAAGTTTGTTTTCATCATTTGTTTCAGCCCTCTCCAACCTGGTGTGCTCCAAATATTTTGGAGTATAGCCCACATCACCGCTTACCATTGGCTGTGATGGCAGGGGCCGATGGGAATTGAAGCAAATCTGCCCCTCCAATGTAAATTTATTTTCCCAGGGCAGTTTACCAATTAACAAGAAACAATTTAAAATACTGGGGGAAAAAAGCATACAAACACCCCAAACAAGCTGAGACAGCAAAATAAAACTGAGAGGCAAACAGTGAATTCAAAACTGCTCCAAGTTTTAAAAGCATTGAAACATCAAACTGGTTCTTAAAAGCCTGGGAGAACAGAAATATTTGTGATTGGTGCCTCAGTGACACAAACAATCAGGGATTACAAAACTGCTGTGCGTTGTTAGTATTTCACCACTCACCATCTCAAGTCCCAAGCAGTTTCATGTCCCTTCTGGTGAGGCATCAGTTCTCTGCTCCTGCTTTTTTCCCTGGAGTAGGATAGGGAGGGATGTGATAGAGTCAGATTCAGGAAGCTCAGGGCAAGCAGAAAAAATAGCATTGCTTTACCCAGTGCATAAATGGTTTGTGGAATTCATTGCTAAATGATGGCCACAAGTTTAGATGACTTTTAATTATGATACTAAAACATTAATGAAGTATCATTTATCAATGGGTATATTAAATAGAACCTTCTGTGTTCACTCCTTTGGCTGATACTTAAAGTTGCAACTGTGCTGCATCTCAAGAAGTTTATTATAGAGAACAAAAAAGGACAACCAAAATGATGAGGGGGTTGAAACAATTCATTTGCAAGGAAAGGCTAAGCTTGGACTTTTTATAACTTTATTTATTTATTTATTTCTGAACTACTCAATAGTTGCAGCTGTCTGGTTGGTTTACAACAGCTCCTAAAATGGGACCATAATGCAATAAAGCTGTACAATATTTCCACAGTACAACATTTAAAAATGTTTTGTAACTAAAACAATGTTTTACACAGAATGAACCAGATTAGCAAGAACATGACAGAGTTTTACTACTCCATGATGTAGTAAAAGTGAATAAAAGTGGATTTTCTCCCTTTGTCATAACAGTAGAACACAATGCTGATTTGTGGGTAATTCAGGACAGATAGAATGAAGTACTTCTCTGCAATAGTTAAATATGTTATAGTTCTAGTTTGCTACTATAAGATGTGGTAAAGGCCATCAACTTGAATGACGTTAGAAGAAGATTAGACAAATTTCACCAGGAAGAAGGCTGTCAATGGCAACACGTCAGAGGTGGTGTGGGAGGTTTAAACAGTGACTGGGTTCACACAGCCCAACAAGCAGTTGTGGGCTGCTTTTTTTTAAAGCTATTGAGGGCTTGCTGTGTTGTGCAGACCCAGTCACAGTATAGTACTGCTGCTTATATGGCTTCTGCTTACCATGACTGGGTCTGGATATCATGACAGACAATCCTAACTCCATTTATCTGATTGTGGTGAAAATGCATCACAGAATCCTGTGGAAAGAGCAGCAAAGAAGGGCCCATTCTAGGGATCTGATCTCAACTACTCACAGCATCGTAGGAACACACAAACACACACACAGTGGTAATATACAGTAAACCTGACTCCTGAAGAACCTGCTTCTGTATTATTGTTCATACCATAAAGCATAATCTAATGCAAACACGAGCTACTTGTGGCCCCTTAGGTGGCCAGAATCCCTCACCGTTGGTTATGCTGGCAAGGGCTGATGGTAGTTGTGGAACCCTGTGTCTGGTATAGTATGTGGATAAGGAACTGTAAGTGACGATACAAGGCTGTGTGGGTAGGTTGTGCCGATACCGTAGGGAACTTTCTCAGATGACAGGCCTTATCGGGCAAGCCAAGCAGAAGTGACAAGCTAATCAGTTGCAATTGCCTCCATCTCGCACTAACCTGGTTGCTTTGCCTCTTTCAAAAAGCACCAGCATGACAGGCAGCAAAGAGGCTTTTCTGTGTCCACAGTGTCAGCTAGAGAGTTGAACATCCTGAGAAACAAAGCTTTTTTTAAAAAGTCACTTAAAAATGATGTATCTTTACCTCATATGGCTATGAAGATGGCATGTAGGGAATGCTTAGCAGAAAAAGTGGCAGAGTGAGCAGATTATTATGTTAGGTCCTTGTTTCTTCCTGCAAAGAGTAGAAGCAAAATAAATTATGCAAAAAAGCCAATATAAGTAAGCATGTTTTGCATAATTGATTCAAGTTCCAGACTTTAGCTTTACTCAGCACAGAATCTGAGTTTTTCATACAGGAATGCACACTACATTGTTTACACCTTTATAATGCAAAAACTGCTTTGTTTATTACATTTATATCACACCTTTTCTCTTGAAAGAATTCAAGGCATTCCTCTTTCACTCCATGCTATCCTCAAAACAACCAGTGAACTTAGGATAAGAGTCAGTGGCAGAGCGAAAGTCATGGGATTCACATACAAGTGGGGACTGGAATCTGGATTTCCTCAGTCCTCGCACAATCACTATACCCTACTAGCTTTCACACACCTCTCACTTTTAGTTTCGCGTCTGGAACAGTTGCACAAAAGAGGTAAACAAGAAGTAGTTTGTACTTTAAGCTAACTAAGACCATGGCATCTGGTCCTATCACTTCCTGGCAAATAGATGGGGAAGAAATGGAGGTAGCGACAGATTTTATTTTCCTGGGCTCCAAGATCACCGCAGATGGGGAGTGCAGCCAAGAAATTATGCTTGCTCCTTAGGAGGAAAGCTATGGCAAATCTAGACAGCATACTAAAAAGCAGAGACGTCATCCTGCCAACAAAAGTGTGTATAGTAAAGGCTATGGTTTTCCCAGTTACAATGTATGGCTGTGAGAGCTGGACCATAAGGAAGGCTGAGTGCCGAAGAACTGAGGCCTTTGAATTGTGATGCTGGAGGAGACTCCTGCGAGTCCCTTGGACTGCAAGGTGATCAAACCGGTCAGTCCTAGAGGAGATCAACCCTGACTGCTCTTTAGAAGGCCATATACTGAAGATGAAACTCAAATACTTTGGCCACCTAATGAGAAGGAAAGACTCACTGGAGAAGAACCTAATGCTGGGAACAATAGATGGCAAAAGAAGAAGGGGACGGCAGAGAATGAGATGGCTAGATGGAGTCACTGAAGCAGTTGGTGTGAGCTTACATGGACTCCAGGGGATGGTGGTGGACAGGAGAGCCTGGAGGAAATGTTGTCTGTGGGGTTGTGATAGGTAGGACAAGACTTCATGAATAACATAACATAGCATAATGGTCTGTCTCCATTCAACATTGGCATGCTCAAACCTGACTACAGTTTGCTTCAGCATGGTCATGACTGTAACAGATTCGTACACACTCCTGCCTTTCTTTCAAGTAAAGCTTTGTTATTTGCATATGAGTCATTACCATAAGCCCGTTATTTTCGTTTACCACTTTTCACAAGATTTCTCATCTGGCCAGGTAAGGACCTGATTTGCACCATTCCTCTTACCTTTCCTATAAAAGCTCGAAGTATGGTTAAACAGTTAAGAATAAAACTGACCCATTGACTAGACCAGACCTGGGCATTGTACGGCCCGCGGGCCACATCCGGCCTGATGGCTGACCCTGACTGGCCCGCATGAGACCACTGGCAAATTAAAAGTCAATGCAAATATATATCGTCATTCAAGCCCAAAACAGACTAGATTTCTGTCACTGAACAAAAAAAAAAAAAAAAAAAAGAACTGAGGTAATGCAGACAAACAAAGCTGGATGCATTTATAGGTAATCCAAAGGCAACTTGGATTGTTTTCTGTTTCTCTGTTCTGTTATAATTCGTAAGGTCTGTACCTTACTATGTTAAGCGCTGGGAGATTACATATGTTGTAAATTTGCGCTATGTAAGTAAAATTGAATTGAATTTATTGCTTTTCATGTAATGTTAATGTTAATGCTTTTGTGAATATTCATTAAATAGTGTTGTTCAGTGCTCCACATTTTCATTGTATCATTGTAATGTTTCATTTACTGTTTTTATAGAGATATATATTGAGCAGAGCTGTAAGTGTATTGGTCTGGCCCTTAACAACTGTCAAAGTTTCTCATGTGGCCCCATAGGAAAATTAATTGCCCACCCCTGCACTAGACAGACACTTGGTCAATTGCAGACTTCCAGTTCATATATTTTTATTTCAGTATTCAGCATAAAGCAAGTAGGAAAGGAATGTTTGCATAAAAGATACGTACAAGAAAGTTCCTGGCTGTTCTAAGTACAGCCTCCACTGACAGGAGACTGATGTGATTCTAGGCATTTGGACTACTGTTGGAGTCCTGTGGAGAGCAGTTGTTTGCAGCTGCATTTTCAAGCAGAAATGTCCCGTGCAATTCATATGTGAACTGAGCTTTCAAACTGTAAGCTTTCAAACACTTCTGGAAATAGTTGTGATATATAAATATCACACAAAATATCCTTTGCTAACTTTATGTCTTGAGGAAGGCCATTATAACATGCTGAAGGGCAGTTCTAAATAGCTGTCCCTAAGTTTTATTTATTTATTTCA